TCACAAATAAAACCATTCATAAATACCTTAACGTTTCATATGTCGTTGTTTAAGCAAGATATCTATCATTTCATGATAACTCCAGTCCCATCCAAATACACTTGTTTTCAGTCTCGCTACTTCCTCGAATTCTGATAAGAAAGTAGAAGGCGTCTGAAAAGAAGATGGCCTCGTGATCTTCTTATCTAGAATTATTTAGGCAGTGCAACCACTGAGTAGTGTCTCAACAAGTCTGTACATGTCATTATTTCTAATTCGCGTATATTGTAAATTTCATAAACAAAATTTTAGGAAAAACATGATAAAATAGTTACGATTTTACATCCCCGTGCCGAAGGAGGCTTTTTAACTTTGACGTGCATCCCTCGCCCTCTCCCCTAGCCCGTGAATAATCCCAAATAACCTCAAGGCGAGAAAGGGAAGAACCAACAAAAAAAATTGTGTTTCTGAAAAATATCCGTACATTAATCTTGCCTTCCATCAATTTTCTGATTAGAATGAAGCTTTTTACACGGCTCTGACTAATCTCATGTAATGTTCATTGTTTCACCTTTCATCATTATTTTATTAAATTATTCACAGGATAACACGTAGTTTTTTAATGTAAACAGGAATCTATTAAAGAAAAAAAAAAGTTGTTGTTATGAGATCATCGGCTGGAAAAATAAGATAACTGCTTTGTTTGCTACAGGATCCCCGTTCATAATAATTACTACGCCTAAAAATAATAAGCCAGTGTTTGATGACCTCAGCATTCCGTGAGCTACGCATCCCATAGGGTACGCAGCTTGGGCCATATAATGTTGTAGTACCTTTTCTGTTACGTAATTCGATTCTTTGTCGTTCGGGAACGCAAGGCCCAACGTTTCCTATTGCGCATCACAATCAGAGTGAAAGACCTTCAGTGCCTTATGGAGGTGTCTTAGCCGCACATCCTGCAAGAGCAATCTGAGATTTTTCCCGTTGCAGGTATCCTGTAAATAGTGCGTCATATCTCTTCAAAGAATTGATTTGATTATAACGAGGAAAATATATTTCCTCCCCTTGTTTAAACAATTGTTCAAATACCTGAAACATTATAGTTGTTCTTTATACAGTTGCTACTGATGTTGATCACTCATTAAATCTAATAATGACGTGGAAGTATATTTGAATCGAACAATATATCTTAAGAAGAATTTATATAAAGTTGAATGTCCGCATGCTTTTTAATTAGTATATTAAATTAACTACCTAACCAAATCAACCATTGAAATATTTGATTGCGATAAAAGAACAGACCCGAAAATATAATATAAATAAATCTTTTTTTTTTTAAGGATGATAACTAATCTAGATGTGATTTATTAGGCTTGCTGACGTTTCGACCTAATAAATAAATGAGTATATTTTTCACCATTAAATTGGTAACACTTTTTTTTTACATAGCTATTATTATATATTACTATATATTACATATAAAGTTGAGATGTAATAATGCTAATTAATTATTAATTAATTAAGAAGCAATTAACACATTATATAAATAAATTGGTTTAAAAAAGGTTTTGATTACAATTAATTAACTATTAATAAAGAAGTGTATATATAGCATAATTAAATTAACCAGGGCATGAAATGAAACTTTAACTTTCATTTTTTTTCTGTTATTTTCGAAAAAATCTTTTTCCTTTGCAACTTTTCAATTAAAGGTTTCTCAGAACTTTTCTCCTTTAACAAGTTCTGTTGATTTTTTAATATCTATCTAAAAAGTGATTTTTGTTTTTAGCTGTTCAAATAGATGACACATTACAATCAAGTAATTCATTTACGATAAATTATAACTCTGACCTAACCACAATTAATGTTATTTGTTATTTAACGTAATTTTTTTTAGGAACTTAAATAAATAAAAGTTAAACATTTACCATAAATATAAAACTTTATTACAAACAAGTTCTCCAGAATCTTTATTTTAACAAATTTTGTTTCTAAAATGTTTCAACGCCTGAAATTAACTGAATGAATTGTACAAATAAAATAAATAAGATAAATGCATAAAGCTAAGATTAAATGAGGTGATTTTTTTAAATTTAGAACGTAATTGAAATATCATAGACAACAATGCATTATTTATAAAGTCATAATATATTAATTATTTTTTATGATCCAAAATATTCACTTCCTATTACCAGCATTGTTCATTTATGCATACTTCTTATTCATATAATTTAATTATTTCTACGATCCATTTAATTAGTTTTTATATATTATCTACATAGTCATTTATTTTAATTTTATTTTTACTTTTATGTAACTATTATCTTATGCGTACTTTCCATTTTTTTATATTGGCTTATTTATGTTCTTCTGAATATATTTTATGTTTCTGGTGAATTTGTTTTAATTTTTAATTTTTAACCCTACTGTTGATAATCATATTTAAATCATATCTAGACTACAAATCATATTTATCATTCTCATAATTTTAAAATAACAGTCAACAATATGTTTATCTCTGAATTATTTCTTGTGTATGCAATCAAGGCAAAAATAAAATTATAATAAATCGAATAATTCGCAAAGAATATCGGTCCGTGAATACATGGTAAAATAGTAAGGAAATTAAATAATGTAACGTTTCAAAATATGTAAAAATGATTTTAAAACTTCTTTAATATTTTAAACCAACATGTTTACGGATTACAAAAACCTGTTAATAATGGTTCAAATTCAATGATTTTATTTTATATCCAAATAAAGTTTCTTTACTTTCATAACTTTTTTAACAGTAATTTCGGAAGGATATAACTGTGTGTGTGATGTGATTTTTCTCACCTAAGGGAGAAGATCTTAAAAATGAGGGTTCAAACATTGGATTTGATGAAAGAAATAATATATGAAGATTGAAATCCGTAATATATATATATATATATATATATATATTATATATATATATATATATATATATATATATTACGAGAGATCAGAGATCAGTAGTTTGTATTCCTTTCAATTAAATACTACGTACTTATTTTGAATAAACTCAAAAAAACGTAGCTCAAAACAAGACTATAAAATCAAAATTATAGTAACAGTTATAGTCGTTCGAATTTAGGTCGGACTGTTCATAAATTTCATAATTAAGTCTTTGTCAAATAATTAGATATTATTTTCCAAGTCACGTAACTTTGTGACGTTTTTAACGACACCACTCCAGAGATTAATTTCTGCTCAGGTTAATAGATATTATAAACTCTTATAACCACTTTTGTTTTGTTTTTTTTGTTTCGTTTCTTAATTCGAAAAACAAACACTTAAAGTATTTTAAGACACTCTAAAAATATATACATTCAAGATCACTCTGTTTAATTAGAACGGCCTTATTGTTATTTAGAATTTTATCTACAGTCGTTGAATAATAGGCAGAGAGTAATTATAATTTGAATGCCGGCACAGTGGTATAAAACAGCCGATACTAGCGTAAGATAAAATAGTAAAGTGAATTCTTATCTAGGTATAAAGATTTATGTATAATTATTTCCATGTTTATAACATTTGTACTAATTTAACTTAATTTATTTATTTAAATAACAATAGTTGTTTTTTTGTTTAATTATTGATGAAAAATATTAGCTTCATTTGGTGTTTGGCTCATTGCGAGCTTCGAATTTTTGGTTCTTCTAATGTACCAACATTATTTATTATACGTGTTTTGTTTTTTTGTTTCAGTCAATCTTCATTATTTTTAACGAAGTGGTTATAAAACATATTTTTTAAATACCTACTAACTTCAAATTTACACTTCCGAATTAGATAAGATGTGAATTAGATAAGTATCACTTCACATCACGGTCACATGCTAAAATTCTATCCACAATTTCGTTATATGTGCATTCAAAAATTTTCCGTCGCGAGACAGAAATATCTTGAATGAGGTCTTTTCTGAAAAAACAGCAATGAGAAACTGTGAAAAATGAAGAAATGTTTTTGGAAATAAGGAATTAGTGGATTTGTTTATTTATAAATGTTTTTTTATTATTTTGAGATGGTATTATTAAAATATAAACATCATAGGCAGGTCGAAGCAGCTGAAAACTATTATATAGTATAAATGGGAGTGTATATACCATTTTCAGAGAAGAATGAGAACAGATCAGGAAAAATCTCAATAATTACAGGGCATAAGAATAATTATAGTATCTTGTAAAACAAAAAGTGAAAATTACGTTTTCCCAGAGACATTTTGTAAAAACTGAAAAAAAGTACAATATTTTTAATTGAATTATAAATATTCAGGACGCAGCCATTATAAAGTTTTTATTGGTGCCAACGTTTCAACCCAAACATCTGGGTCATCAACAGAGCGTGTTTGGGGCACTGAAGGTATTCAAATGAATACCTTGAGGTATTCGCTACTTAAAATACCTTGAATATACTCAATCTTTTTATTTATTTTTATTTGAAATTTTTTATGGAATTTTGAATTTTTGTTGAGAGCAAATTCTAACAAGTTAGTGAATGGGAGAAATCATATTTTTATGGAGTTTCAACTGAGATGAACTTTTAAACCACGGAACTAGGGAAAAAATGGAAAAGTGTTAAATGTAGGGGGAAAAAATTTTAATATTTACATTTTAATGTAATATATTATATAGATATATATTATGTGTTATACAAAACACTATAATGAACAATTGTAACAAACTTCGGAATTGTATTATTTATTTTTTCTCTCTTTGTTTTAAAGCCTGAACTATAGTTGTAGTACATAGCAATTTTAAATTAAGATAAAAACAAATATTCAACAAAATACATTTATTTTCAAAAACTCATAAGAAATAAAATCAACAATCATTAATAACAATAATAAAACTGATGTAAAATTCACAGCTACAAGCTATCTACGAATAGTTCAACAACCCAAGCATATCTTTTAATATTGTAAAACAATACAAGCATTGAAACAAAATTTCAAACATAAAGATAAATTCAAACAATATTTCTCCCATAGTGCATCTTCAAGTTTCCCTGTGAGCCACAGAACTGGAAATACAAGCGCTTTGCCGCGTAGTGTTTTCATTTTCTGTACTGATCTGGTTGAACTGAGCCAGTACTATCTCGTAAGTGAATATGGTGCCAGTGATCTAACATCAGTAAAAATACTCATTTATTTTTAAATAATCGTCAAACTGCATCAATAAGATAAATAAATAATAAGCACCTTCAATACAAGCCCTCGGGTTATAGAGAAAAATCTTGAACCGGTCAGAGAGACGGGATCTTGCCAAATTTGAAGAAATAGTCTATGGACCTGAAATATAAGAATACTTTATTTATTCCCGTGCCCCTTTAGGATAACACAGAAAGACTCAGAGATATATAAAATTAATGACAAAATAAATAAATAGAAATGATAAGAAAAAGGATAAGTTACCTTCTAACTAGTATCAATGAAGATAAATAAAAATAATTAAGAATGATTTAATAATTTATCATATATATATATATATATATATATATATATATATATATATATATTTACAGTAATATCTATTTACAATTTTATGAGGATTGGATGGATAAGAAGTGATTGAACAGGCGGGATTTAAAGGTTGGGAGGATATTGGAGGGACTGATGTAGTTTCCTGTTCAACAAAAACATAACAAGTAAAAAGTTTTATTGTTCGTAATTAATTTATTACAGTACAAGTCAGGTCACAGGTAAAAAATAAGTTAAAAATTTTGTAATAATTTATCGAAGTTATTTCAGCTAAAAATAAAGGTACATTGTGGTGACAGGATGTCAAGTCATAAAATGTTTTTTACACTCCTAGAGGTGAATCTCAACTTACTCTTTACTAAACCTCAGCTTACTTAATTTGGACTTAATGTTTATTTTACAAGGAAGTTTTTCCAGAAGTGCAGTGGGTATGTGAAGGTCAGTTGGAGGGAAGATGATTTTAGTTGTTTTATTAGCGTTGTTTAACCGCTAAAAGTCTTCTTTAAGTGTTTTTAAAAAAGACAAAATCTATTTGAAATTGAAGTAAATTTTATCTGGTTTACTACGCAGGAAATTTCAATTGCCTACATTATTTTTTTTATTAATTATCGCTTCCTACTCAACAAAAAAGTGGCATACTTGAAAAAAAAGTACAAAACTTAAATTTCCTACTTTTTTTACGAAAATCGGATAATTGGTTATGTATTTTTTTTTTTATATATAACTCTTGAGGAGTGCTGTCAAATTTTTTAAATATTTCCCTAAATTTACTGTACATCTTCTATAACATCTTTATCGGTAAGACGCATTGTTTCCCTTTTCTGAGTGAAAAAAAACACGTAAAAGTGACCTTCTGGGTATTCCTCATCCTTGGCTCACCTTCACAGAGAGGGAACTTTAAGTATGTTTACCTCCTAACCCGTCCGTAGAAAATCTCTATCAATCAAAAATTGTGTCCTTTCCATTTCTCTTTCATTCATTGGCTGGAATCGGCAACCAAGAAAGACATTATCCTAAGAAAATGGATGGGAAAGTAACTAAAGAAAGACCGAAATATATTATAGGAATTTAAGGCAAATAATTTAACCATATAGGTATGAAAGTTTTTTTATTTTTATTCAGCTTTAATTTATTATTCTATTTTTCTTGTATGTGTATATATTAATTCTCTTTATATTATTTACTTCAATTTTCTTTCTTTTATTTTTTTTTTACTTTAGTTATTAACACTTATTTTCCTTTCGTATCTACATATTGTGTGAATGAATACTGTAGCCCTAATACCAACATCCTTCAGTGTGGCAGACTGTATTAATACTCAATAAAATCGTTTAATAAAATAAAAAAATTTAACCTCAACGTTGTAAGACTGGCTGGGGACCGAGAAGAGCACAGGGAGAATATCCTTGGACAGATCGTGAATCCTACCTGCGGCCAGGCATATGCCGTAGAGCCGCACCGTCACGAGGATGAAAGCTGCGCAGTTGTAGATGGTGTGGATGGTTGTCAAGTCACGCCATCTGCAATTTCAAATTCTACTGGAAGTAAACTCATTCAATGAGAAATATTTTAATTTTCTTATCTTAAACAAATTTATCTTTGAAATTATTATAATCTTTCTACAGGACGAATAATCAAAATTCTATTATTTTTATAACTAAAGGAAATATATTAAATAGGAAATATATCAAAAATTCTATTATTTTTATAACTAAAGGAAATATATTAAGAGAAATTTAAGGTATATAATTTAACCTTATAGAAATGAAAGTTTTGTTTTTTCATTTTTTTATTTCTCCGTTTTACACCTTTGGAGTCAGCCCTGATGAAGGCCTGAACTTCAGGTCGAAACGTCGGCAAATGTCAAAATAAATATTATCATTTATTTTTGCCTTCTTATCTGACTGATTACCCCCAACTATTCTTCTCTTCATTATTCACGACAGTCAACCATTTACCCACAATTATGATTCTGTTATTTTTATTGCCCGAATAGGACGACGCCAGAAATAAATGAGGCGTTCATTTCCAATTTATTTATTTTTATTATTTTTTATTTTATTATTATTTATTATTATTTTTTATTTTATTATTATTTATTTTTTTTTATTATTATTTATTTTTTAAACTTAATAATTTTTTTTTCGGAAATCGAGATAAGTATCGATTCCCATGTCAAATGAAAAATGTAAAAACACGCAATGAATTCGTTGGTGCAATTATTTTATCTCAAATACAAACCTAAATATTTTTAAAAAATATCATAAAAATAATTTCCGAAATCTGCATTTTTTTTTTTTAAGAAATGCAAAGAAACTTTTATTCTTTAAAGAACAATGCTTTAAAAGTTTTATTAATTGTTTTATTCAAATGAAAATAAAATAATTTTATTGTGAACAACCTTCTTTTTTTTTGTTAAAAACCAGACTTTATTCTTAACTGGACGGAAATTTGATTCTTTCTAAATGCGGTCCTTTCCAGTTTCAATGTTTTTTAATAACGATAGAAATAATCAGCGATTTCGGAAATAAAGAATTTTTAATTTATTTTAAAAAATATTGGTTTTTAATATTACAATTACAATATAAAACTATCGTTTTTTGACTTTCTTGAAAAATTGTTAAAGGTAGATAGGATTCGGTTTAGAAATAAACGACTCATATGTTTTTAGTGCTTCTAGGTTTGTAATGATTATTTCAGCGAATGTACAGATTGTTAAGTTTGATGGCACAAATTATTTAGTGAGATTCCGTAAGTGTTTTTTAACAATTTTGAGCACTATAAATAAAACACTGAAAAAACTATTCTATACAATATTTTATATCTATCTGTTAAACTATACGTAAAGATCTTTGAGCGAACGTCTCGAAAAATTATTAATTATGATGAAGTAATTTCAGCTCAAAACACTAAATATATATTTCATTATGGTTTAATTGTTTTGATTTCTTTTTATGAATACAAATTTCCAATACTTGAACAAATAAAAACGTCCAATTTAAAAAAAAAATAATGTAAAAAAAATCAACTATGAAAAAACTCTATCCATCCAAAGGAAAAGAACTTTAGTACATACTTTAACAACTTGGTAGATTTTAGAAGAAGTTAAAAGAAGTTATATTCTAGTATTTATAATAGTTATAGACTATTAGTTTTATTCTAATAATATATATTACAATTCTAATTCCATTACATATTATGTATCCACTACATATAAGTTCCTGGCTTGTACATTTCGACTCATGCATGGGTAAACGTCAAACTGCGAAAGAGTTTTAAGTTTCGTTCAGGGGTGGAAAATTTCCGACTAGATATATAAGTAGATACTTATGTACATTTCCTTAGGATGAGGTTATTTACTTAGTTGTTTTTTTTTATATAAATTAAATTCATTTTTTTATTTTAAATATTATCGCTACAAAGTCAAAGAAAGTTTAAGTTGTTTTAACAGTAAAAAGATGAGACTACAACTGAACACAGAAAATAATCCAAATCTAAATTCACTACAGCACAACACTCAAATAAAAGAAACTACAGCATGCAAGCAATATCAATCGATACTAACTTCAAGGCTCTGTACAACAAACAGCAGATGGAATAAACGTTGTTGAAAAACGTGAAGAGCATAAGAAGTGAAAATTTTTCGTCTAAGTTCTTCACTAAGAAGGACAGTTTTATATAACGTATCCTCGACTCGCGCCAGAACTCCAGCGACATGTCCTAAACAACATTTAGAGTAAATGTTTAAATAATACAAATAAAAATTATATAGTTCCAATTATTATACTTGATTGAGATGTAAACAAATATAATTTTAAAAATTATTAAATTTCTTTCCAAGAGCCTTAAAAAATATTTAATATCTGTTTATTCACTTCTCTTGCTATTAACGTTTATCGAATAGTTGAGCTAGTGTGAAGGATCCTTGAAGTTAGTAACATACAACTACTACAGCAAGGATTATAACACAGCAGGTATTTTTAATTGAATAATAATAACTAAAAAAATATTTAATGTAATCTGATTTTTAAAAATAAATAAAATTTATTGAATATTACATAACGATTGGAAAATATATTCTAAATTGTCTTATAACAATATACTTTTTTTGTTTTATTAAGAAACTTACTATACATTTCTGATTTTCACACTACTTTTTTTTTTTTTTTTTTAATCAAGTAGAAGTACTTCAAAACATCAAATGATCCCTTATAGTCTATATATTGTTCGTTATGATTGTACAAATTAAGTTTTCGTTTTTTTTATTTTATTTTTTTTTTTTATCCTAAAACTAAGAAAAATTCAAAAGTACACATTGCAATCCAAAAATCACTTTCATGGCCTTTCATCACATTCAATATAATTGAAGAAATCAGGAGGGAGAAGGAAAGGGGTTTCGAGCTGAAGCGTCCATCCCGAAACAAAAAATTAAATATTTTTTCTTGGGCCATCATCGTTTGTACTAGCCATAAAAACCTAAAAAATTACAATATTCTCTATTTCAGTTCTAAGTGCTTCAGCTATTAAATGTATGCACATTTCAAGAAAAAATATAAAAAAATTAACCTCTCTTAAAGCATTATTGTACCTGTAGTTACTATTTTTAAAAAACGCTATTGTTCAAAATAAGGAATAAACTAAATAGTTTAAGGAATAAACTAAACACCGTCCAATACATCAATTTTTAAATTTATGATAAAAAATTAATTGAGAATTTAATAGTCATTTATTTTATTTGTTTATAACTTATATATTGCATTTATTCATTTTTAGCCTATTTTATCCTTATCGCTTATTTGTCCCTACATCGTTCTTTTATTCATTTTTCTTTTCTCCTAAGCCATTCATTGTTTTACTTAATGTAATTTTCAGGGTCTATGTATTGTTCGTTGTAATTGTACAAATTAATTTTTTTTATTTATTCGTAAACCAATGACTTCCTGTCCTTCAGTATCCTTTAACAACACCTCACTTATTCTTGTTGAACAAATCCGTTACCTAGAACTCCACCTGGACAAACGTCTAACTTGGAATCCTCATACCAGACTGAAACGACAAGAAACAGCTCGACGTTTCCGACTACTTCAACACTTACTAGACAAACGCTCTAACCTTCTAATTAATTACAAAAGACTCATTTACATGACTATAATAAGGCCTATTTGGACTTACGGAGTTGAGCTATGGGGCTCCACCAAACCTTCAAATTCCTTTCGTATCCAATCCTTACAATCCAAAATCCTTCGTAAAATCCTCAATGCTCCTTACTTTGTTACAGATAAAATCATCTGCAATGACCTTAATGTTCCTTATGTATCAGATTTGGCCCAATCCAGATATCTATCCTTCCATAATAAACTTCATAACCATCCCAATCCTCTTGTTTCTAACTTTGCTTCCTATTCTATTCCTGATAACTCTCCGAGGCGTCTAAAAAGAAGATGGCACGGTGATCTCCAAATATAGACATATTATTGGAGTGCTGCCAATAGGTAGTTTTTCAACATGTGTTTCATGTTATTATATCCATGCACGAATTTACTAGATGTATTTTTTTTTTTTATACAGTTGTAAATATCATATAAATAATAAAAAAAAAATATATTTTTTTTCGTAAAACTAAAAAAAATTCCAAAGTACTCATTGCAACCCAAACATCACTTTCATGGCCTTTCATCACATTCAATATCATTGTCGAAAACAGGAGGGGGGGAGAAGGGGTTTCGAGCTGAAGCCCTCTTTCCAAAATAAAAAATTGATATTTTTTTTTGGCCATCATCATTTGTATTAGCCATAAAAAAATTACAATATTCTCTGTTTCGTAAGCGTAACACGTAAGCGTGATAACAAGTAAAGCATGTTGTTTTAACGCTTTTAAGCAAAGGATATATTTTTTTTATTTTTTTTTTCATCATTTTTATTCAAAGTGAAGAAATGTGTTCTCTAAAATAAATGTCAATTCGCGCAAATGTAAATTTATTTAAGCAATAGGATTGATTTTGGATAAGAATCGACAAAACCTTTTTTGGTTTGGAGCTATCAAATACAATGTGTCCGTACTTCTGTTTCTTTTTTTCATTCCAAATTTGAACATATATGTCTTAATACCACATACTTAGTCCCTTTGAACTTTCATTCAAGTCCTTGATGGACCCAACAATCGACAATGCCGATCCGAAGGCCTGTTCTCAAATCGCTGCCCTCTTCGAAATCCTTGATCGCCGAGATGAAATAATAGCCGTCCCCAGTGTCAATGTCGGCACACAAATCTCCGAGCGCCATCAGTCACCTCTGATGTAACTTCCGGTCTCCTAGCGAGCTGCAGCGTCACGAGGTCTCCCCGGTAAAACCACCTTATCGATTATACCAATAGCATCGATTCAATTGGTTTAATAACCTTAATTATTACAACAATAGATGTAATTAATCATGGTTTCATTAATCGTTTCCTTACTGCCCTTTAAAGGTAATAGGTATGTATTCCATTGAACCTGTGCGATCAAAACAATGTACAAGAGAGGCTTCGATGAAAAAAGTTAAACCCTGCATAACCGCATTGCTATTACCTAAAATTATTGCATTACTATTACTATAAACCAGTAATATAATGAGGCTATTTTTTTTTTAAACAAAATAATTGGCATATCTACACATTTTAACGTTTGTCTATTCTGGTAATGCCTTTTACCGTACTAAGTCGAATTCAATTTTTTTAAAGCAGTATCATCGTTCTTTGGAGTGTATTCGAATTGTTGGAAATAGATAACATTCGCATTAACAATACATTGACACCTTCATTATGAATAGGATGAACGCACCAGTTATAGACAGGAGGTCCAGTCACGGACAGGTTGGACTTTAAATGTAAATAAGAAGGTTCCTTATTGATTTAAAGGTTCCAGTTTTTTCTAGAATAAAGAACAATACCCTCTATTGATAATTGTATGAATAAATTTCCCAAGAGAAAATTTTAAAATGACTATCATTGTTATTTCTATAGTGATCTTCAGATCAGTGTGTTTCATACCTCCATACTAACAGTGTTGTTAAGTGTAAGTTGAACATTTATGTTATCTTATTAGTCCGTAGTACAGACTCCTTTTTATCAAATTATTAACATCCGCCTGAAACTTTGTAAATAGTTTCATCTCATCGTAACCTACAACTATTTTATTTACGAAAACTCTTGGAATTGGGGCGTTTTCAATCTGGAGGGCGGCAAACTTTGTCTATTTAACTAGGTACTAAAAACTCGTAAATACACATTTGCGTTCTACTTGGATCGTAAGATAATTTCATCACAAAATCGAGAAAAAAAGGTGGCCTTTAAAAATATTGAGCCGTTTGGCGTGACCTACACCCCTAAATTTTCAAAATAACGAGGTTATATTGGACATACGGTCCAATATTTTTGTAGGCCACATTTTTTATCGATTTTGTGATCAAATTATCTTACTAGAAATTATTCAAATTATTCAAATCAAATTATCCAAGTAGAAAGCAATGGGTATTTACGAATTTTTAGTGCCTAATTAAATAGATAAAGAAACGTCCCAATTCCAAGAGTTTACGTAAATAAAATAGTAGTAGGTTACGATGAGATGAAACTATTTAGAAAGTTTCAGGCGGATGTTAATAATTCGATAAAAAGGGGTCTATACAACGGACTATATCTTTATCGTTGCGTTTACAGTTAAATAAAGATTTTAGAATTTTTCTGAGATATGTCCAGTACTGGTAACGACCCTCTGTCCATTATCACTAGTGCAAAAAGGTGTTTTTATTTTAAATGGAGATTATACCTGCATATCTGAATATTTTTACAGTTTCAAATAGGAAAAGTGTTAAATAGAAAAAGGAGATCCTAGATATTCTAAACGTCCAACGGAAAAATTTATAACTATAATAATTATTAATTCAAAAAAGACAAACCATTCATTAGCTATATCCATCATTGTTGCGCTTACCATAATATATATATTTTTATTTATTTGTTTCCATCACTAGGGTCATTTGCTCATTGCCAAGTGGGGCTGAGTACTTGGACGAGAAACAAACGTCTTGGGGAGAAATCACTAAAGAAACTTGGACACGCGGATCTACGAAGGCTTCAGATTGAAGCCTTCCTTCCACCAAAAAATGGAAAACTTTTTTTTTCCATTGGTACTTATTATTTTATGTGAGTGAACTAAGCTAAATACTTTTTGCCTTCAAGGACCACTTAATATTATTTCATATAGGTAAGGAACAGTTTTCCTCTTTTTATTCCAGAGTAATTACCGTTAAAAATAAAATAAAAAGAGCCCTCTTGCGAAAAAAAAAAGTAACTATACTGCCCTTGGATATAGAATGAGATTGAGAGAGGTTCATCACATCGCCTTTTAATCTATCTTCTATCTTTAGTCAACCATAATCCAAACCAATCAGGGATAAGTTTTGGTATATAAGAGTTTTTATTAGTAATAAAGAATTAGTTATATTATCAGATAATATAAAAGTAGTCACGACTTAAATATTCTAAATTATATACCAGTTGCACTTTTATTTTGTTTCTCAATAAATATAATATTGTTCCATTCTAAAAATCTACAATATATATTATTATTTATATCATAACTTGCCTTGAAGTACCTTGGGCCACAATGTACTTTTGGCCACCCAAAGAATAAGAAATTCCACCGGAGAAAATTAAGGATTTGTGGCAAAATTGAGTAGCCTGCGCTGCCAGAACATTTTACGCCGCTCCGTTTTTTTATAATATTGATAAAAGTTGGAAAAGTAATTTTTCTGTACTAGATATAATAATTTTTAATCAATAAAGTTCATAAATATACTCAAAATTATTAGTCTATTGATTTATATTAATCTCTCAAGCATCTTTTGAAGGCAAGTTATAAGCAAAATACCATAGGACTTAAAAAATAAAGTCATATCATTGTAACTTGGGCCATTGTTTTATAAGGTCTTTTATGATGTTTAATAAGGCTGGCCCAAGGTACATTAATATAATTTCAAAATGTGTCTCTTATGAGAATAAACCCTTTATTCATTAAAAAGTTATAAAAGATTATTTATTGATTGCAAGTGTAATATATTGTGAGCTTTCAAAAAATGACTTGAAACAGTTAGCTTACCAGTGTAGATAAGTGATACTTATTATTGAATAATATTTATAATTCCTATTACAACAAATATTGCCCACGATACAGTTCGTAGCATAAGGTACGATATAGAATGATCCAAGGTACAACTATAGTAATTTTACCTTGGGTCATTTATTATTTTTAAAAATGATTTTTATTTTTCATAGTCAAAATGTGGCGATAAAATAATATAAAAATTAACATAGTATCTTCAAAGCATTGTTATTTTAGAAGTTATGGAGAAAAGGGACCCAAATGAAAAGGGACCCAAGGTACACTTATTTTCCATACTATTATTTAAATATATAATTAACTTGTAAAATGACCCCATGTAGTACTGTTGGAGAAGATGTATTTGAAAGTTATTGGCTAAAGTACATTAATTAATTAGGATACTAATTAAATATGAATATAGTTTATAATTGAAGGAATCCCTTAATTTTTTTTATCAATTTAATATAAACATGCTCAACTCCATAACAAAGAGTGAGGGCCAAATATTATCACATTAGAAATAGAGAATTTTCTTAAAGAATTATTGTCTAGGTTTTTAAAACATTAAAAAAAATAATAGTAAAGCTCGAACGAATAAAGTCATATGTATTATTTTAAAAAGCTTTATAGTAAATAAATTTAAACTTCTAATTTAAGACAATTTTTTTAAGTATTCAATTTTATAACAAAAAAAAAATTAAATTAGACTGAATAAATTCTCTAAATAAAATTCTCAGAAAAAAAATATTCTGATCTTAATAAATCAACTTTTTGTAGACCACCTTCCGTTCTATTCCATTTTTTTTTTTTTTTTTATTTGGCCTGTGAAAGATTCATGTAAATAATGTTTTGTAAGATTTGAGCTAAGCCAATCTTCTGTGAGCAGGAGCATTCGTTGTGCTTAAGCTTGGAAGTGATATATATTTTTTAGACAATTTTAAAACACAGCTTAGTTACTAAATGGAGGTACTGACTTCAGGCTGTGGTAAAGCTTTAAGCAGATATCGTTAAGGTCGTTGGCAATGGTGCAGAGAAAGAAAAATGACAATCTTTCGTCAACGCTCCTCGCCAGGTAGGATAGTTTTATATAACAAAGCCTGGAATCGCGCCAAAACTCCGGCGGTATTTCCTGCAGAATAATTTAACATCCCTCTTACTGGTTATACCAAAGGAAGAAAGAAATTGATAAGTATTTTACACAGCCATAAGTCATTAAAATGGACTAAAATATAAAATAACTCGGATAAAATAAAAAATTATAATCATGATTCACACATTATTTAGCCTGGAAGGAAGGTATTTTTACTAACTTACACAATATGGATGATTTCCACATAATGGAAAAACTTATTTCACGTATTATATGTCGGGTCACATTTTTTTCTTTTTTCATAAACGAAAAAATTAACTTTATTTTCGTTCATGTTCGGTTAGCACAAACTGGGCGTACTGAGCCATGATAAAGACAAAACAGAAACGTAAACACAGGTAATACATTGAGGATTAAATAAACAAACATAAACTTTGTAATTCATTATGAGTTGAAAGAATAAAAATAAAACATTTTTTTTTAATTCTCTACGAACTTTTAGGACAACACTGTATTAATATGGCGAAAATAATCGAAGAAAACATGTTATATACACACATATAAGTGCGTATAGAAAGCAATAACGTTAATGAAATTGCATTATTTTACATCCATCAGAAAATAGACTGCTGACTCAACATTTTAGATTGGACTATCTCGCCCTTGAGTGGCCTGTTGAAGCTGTAATCAAAGATGGTTCACAATAGGCTATTTACAGAGCTGTAATAAAGCTCCACGATAATTTCTATCGTTTTTATAACACGATAAGTTCTATCTAGGCTAGTTTTTCTATCGTCAATAAAACTGAGCGCGGTCAAAGATTTCTATGGCTAACAGTAATACATTAATAGTTAAATTATTGTATACAGAGTGAGTAGGTTGGAACTGAAAAAAATCTAGGAGTAGATTGCACACAGGAAAATAATTTTTAAAAACTCATGTTGGTGTAGTAGTCGGGTGAATACTACTCAGAACAAATTACAAGATTCAGATGTTTAAATACATATATGGCACTTTTTTTTTTGTCTTCCCCTTCCTCACCTTTCAGGCTATACAGGGTTTTACCAGCCCAGGGGGTAAGGTTGGGTGATTAATGCCAGAATTAAAAGCCCTTCCCAATCAATCTACCAAGATGTTTAAGTAGATATGGAAGTAAATTTCTCTTAGGGTCAGAGATGGGCAAATGCTACTCTGACTACCGAGTACCAAGTATTTTGTTTAAATTGAATCACTATTGAGAAATTAATCACTACTTTAGTTAATCGTTTGACATCAACTGAAGTAATAATTAAATTGTTCGGTACTTAAAAAAGGTTAGTGTCTGAGTAAAATATTAGGTACTCAGCACAGGCGTATCTCCGGGGATGGAGGGGCTTTCGGGCTGAAGAACACCCAATATGGTAAAATATAACTATAGAAAAAAACTATCTCTTAAAGTATTATTGTTCGTGTAATTACATTTAATAGGACTTCAAGAATCATTTAAACTCCATTTCATGCAGTTAGTTAATTTTTTTTTAAATTAATTATCGTTATATATATGAAATAAAAAAAAACTTTCGGACTGAAATCCCCCCCCCCTAAATTAAATCCTGGATCCGCAACATCTCTGCTTATTTTTTTTATAATTTCTGGAGTCAGTTTTTTTTATTAAAATTTTTTTTTTTTACTTTGTATAATTCATCTTTGAACCAGCCCCAAAAAACAATAATTCAGTATTGCGAGGTCTAGAGATCTTAGAGGCCAATTAACTGGACCACCGCCACCAATCTAATCCGTGAATCGTTTCATCCAAGAGAAATGACCTGGAGTTCCGTCATGCTCAAAGTACACCTGCATTCTGACGTTTGAAGGAACATTCTCTAATAGTCCTTCTAATTCAAATCGTAAAAATCTAAGTAGTGGTCTCCTGTGAGGCGATTCTCTGAAATGAAAGGACCAATTAAATAACCTTCACAATATCATCCCACACGTTTACCGAAAACTTTTTTGAAAATCATAATGCTAATGTATAGATGGGAAAAAAAAAAGCCTGTACCGCTACAAGCTAAAAAGGGTCTTGGGTTCAGTACACTATGAGGAAGTACTGTTACAGAGCCAACGGTTGTGCAACCGTTATTTGTGAAATTTCGTTTATTTTTAATATAATTGTATTTTTGATTAGCCAATCAAATTTAAACGAATGAAAATCGTATTAGAACCAATGAGTTTTTAAAAACAATTTCGCTATGTGCAATCCACTTCTGGAGTTTAGCCCGTTCCTCACGACTCACTCTGTGTGTTTTTTATTTATTGAATTTGTTATTTAGAAATGCCTTATATTATATTAATATTCAGTTGGCAAATTATTTGGATGGACTTTAGAAAATAATAAACATGATTAAAAAATACTTTTTCATTTAAAAGTAGAAAAAAAAGCATTATTTATCTTTTATTTTTATTTATTTATTTTTATTTTTTGTAAGGGGTCCTCGAACATAAAACCGTTCCACTTTCTAACAAGATTCCACACTAGAGGATTTGTTTTTCACTAGGGGCTCAAAAATAAATCTTCCCCGGGCTCCAATTTGTCTATGTACAACACTGACTGTTTATACTCTGGAGGCTTTAATCTATGCTTAATAGAATAAGAGGTTCGTGTTAATATTTGCTCAGACTTGCCTGACCAATGATGCGTTTAAGAGACGTTTTCAGCTGCTCGAACCTCACGGAGAGCGCGACGCACACGCAGATCAGAAAGATGTCCGTGAAGGTCCAGACGAGGGTCAGAAAGAAATTCATGGTGGCCAGGAGGAATCCCAACCACATGGAGAAGCGGACATGTCTGAAGACATTGTCGTAACTCTCCAAAAAAAATCTTTCCACGAAACCATTTTCATTACATATTCGTGCCCTTTCCAAATTGTACACCTGGCATAATATATGTTCCACTGAAATACATAATTACAACAGTTAAAAAAAAAAAAAAAAATATCAAAATAATAAATTAAGATTAACGCAAACTCCCACAAATTTAAAAGATTTTGATGATTTTTTTTTATATCTAATCAGAAAATTACAAACACAAGCCTTGCGTCCCTAATATGGAGGTAAAACAAACATGATACAAATATGTATTTGGTCTGCAAATATTGATGTGTTAGTTTATTTTACCTTCGATATATAGTGAAAGGCTTTTATTTTGGAATTTTCCAATTACAAACAAACATTTAATTAATACCTCGTTTTGAGCTTTTTCTATTAATGATTTTTGAAAAGAAACCAGGATGTTTGCATTCATTCAAAAGGATCCCTCCACCAATTCAAAAGTTGAACTGGAAGGGCACCACTAATTTTTTAATAAAAAAATCTTATAAAAAAATAATTACTTTTAAGCGAAGTTAAAATAATGGGAAAGATAAGTTAGGAAAACACTTTAAAAAATCTGGACTTTATTGACTTAGTAAAAAAAATAAGTTTATATTTTGGGTATAAGTTACTCCTTATTCGTATGAATGTTAACTAAATTATTTATTCTGAGATATCAGGAAATATTTTTGGTTTTCCTTGTTGGTCTTTCAGAACACATTCCAACTTTCAGAAATTCTGATTTTTATAAAATTAAATTTGGTTACAGAAACCATCAATTAAATAGTATTGATTAAGAATACCAAAATTAAGAATTATACAAAATTATAATTCTTTTAAAATATTTTAGATTTTTATTTCCAACACGTACTAGACAAAAGCTATCCATTAATTACAAAAGACTCAGATTCATGGCTATAATGAAGCCATTTTGGACTGAATACTGAATTCCAATAGCGGACCCTATATAGTCATTCGGAATAGTATTCCTAGGTACTATTGGCATTCTGATTGATCGTGTAAGATTATGATTGAAGTACTGATAGACGTGACCGACGAATTTCAGAAAATCTGGAAATCAAAGGTTTAAAATCGCTTCAGGAAAAGTGGTGGGAAGACTGACGTTACCACAAGTTAGGTTAGTTAACTGAGGCCTCATGACCATTGTACATTCCTGATTTTCAGTAAAAATAAATAGCTTTTCAAAACTCTAGTTTATATTTTTATAAACCATCTTCAACTTTTTTTTTTAAATAGTCAAATGGGCAATAAACTACAAAAAAAAAGTGTAAATTTCACAATTTACTTATAGAAAAAAATAATATTTAACTGTTCTGTATATTTGTCAGTACTTTTTCCATTTTTCACATTCAAATTTATTATTTTCGCAATACTTTTCTTCAATTTTTGTAAGTAGTTGAATTATATTTTTCAAAACGAGTTTCAGGCATTAGGAAGTAATTATTATATCTCCATTTTTCCCTTGATGTTTAATGCTATAAAGGATAATGGCCAAATAAGCTTTTTTAATGAAATATATTATTATTAACGGACAATGTACTAGATCCACGCTGCCTATTATCTCAACGTCAACTGAGCTGAAATAGTCAGTCTGATTGATAGGTGTAAAGGTCCATCATGATTGAAGCAATCCTTGTCAGTCTTTTGACTGTCATTTATGACTGATCGTGTAGAGTCCGCTTATCCTATCCGTCTGAAAAGAAAATGGTCTCGAGATGTTCTTACTTAAAACTATTTAGGGAGTGCTATCGTTGGGTAATATCTCGACAAGTCTGTTTATGTCATTAATCTTGATTTTTTTCACATTTGGTTCTATCTATTTAAAACAGTTGTGAATTTCAATAAAAAAAATTTTAAATAAAAAAAAGTATACTGAGGCGAGTTGTGGCTATTAAATAACGTGATTTATTCTGTAAGACATTTTATTTTGATATCATACACATTTATTTATTATCACCTTCAATGACTTTGCTTTCTATTTTAGCAAGAACGTGAATGTAATAATGTTGATTAATAGTATGACCTTCAGGAACTCAGTGAAGGTCCAAAATCCCATTAAAAAAAAACCGATCACCATTGCTTTGAATTTTGATTTGCTCATTGGACCATTTAGCCTCTTGATGAAGTTGGGCGCTTCCAAGATGTGGATTGGCGATTCGTTTCAGGATCATAAATAAAAAGCCATGATTCTCATTATGGATTAAAAAGAACAAGAATTGAGTTCGTTGAAGCTGTGAAAGAGAATGCGGCAGATGTCCTAAAGAAACTGACAGAAAAAGACCTCCAACGCTGTTTCAGACCATTTCAGACACCTGAAGATTCTCATGGAGCGTTGTAGGAATAGAGGAAGGGTTTATATTGAAAATGATAATTACTAAATATATATAAAATAAAATTAAAATGTTTTACAGCACCAGTCTCGTTATTAAATAGTCACACCTCGTTTAAAAAGCGCGAAGAGTTAAATAAAGGGTTCATTTGTTTAAACACAGCTACTATATCATAATTTTGTATAAATACAGTGGCTTACAGTCAAAATGATACACCTGGATATTGAAAGAAACTATTAGATAAATAGTTCAATTTATATAACATTAAAAACAACAATTGAAGGAAGATAGTCGACTGTTCTACATATCATGGGTGATAAATATTCAGGACGCAGTAATAATAAAGTTTTTATTAGTGCCGACGTTTCAACCCAAACATGTGGGTCATCATCAGGGAGTGGTTCGAGCACTGAATACCTTCTGTGCTTGAGCCATGCCCTGATGATGACCCTCATGTTTGGGTTGAAACACTAATAAAAATTTTATTATGATTGCGTACGGAATATTTATCACCTATTAAAAACAATAATTTATTGTAATTAATAAACACCCAAGTAAAATGTTAGTTTCTTATTTTATTTTCTTGTTCTTATCTTATGTTTTATGTTCTTTTCTTATGTTATGTTTCTTGATGTGGGGACATATAGCGATTTCTGGTGTAGCAAATCTTCATTTTATAGTCAAAATATATACTAAGTGAATAGACATTTTATGAGTAGACATGAATAGACATAACATAGACATTTTGAAAAGAAGTTTGAAAGAGATTGTGGTAAATTTGGGCTAAAAAACAAATTTTGTCTTTATCAGAATAATGATCCCAAACACTCTGCCATTTTAGTTAAGGAATGACTGCTCTAAAGTCATAAAAACGCCACCACAATCACCAGATCAGAAATTAATATAATGACTGTGGGTGAAATTGGAGGTACAAATTAGAAAACAGTAAATTTCCAGCAAAGAAGACTAAAAAATATCTTCTAGAAGAATGGAACAGGCAAAGCCCAAAATCACCAAAAAACTGGTCGACTTCACTAGAGTGTAAAAGGAGTGGTAGAAAATAATGGCTTGAAAAAAAAAAGAAGTGAGGTGTGTCATTTTGACTGTAGGATAAAATTATCCAGGTTTTACTTTCACTTACGTATATATGTAATATATAGGTAGGGATAAGTATTGCGAATGAGAACATTTTTGAATCTGAGTTTTCAACGGAAACGCACGTTTTGAGGTACCCTGAGTCGAAATGACCAAGTTGCGAAAAATGGTCTGTGTGTCTGTATGTTAGCAGTCTAGCTCAAAAACAAAAAGTCGTACGAAACTGATATTACGTATTTAAGATAGGTACATGCCTTAGATGTGACAGCAACTTTTGCCTCGAAATCGGCTCACCGGAAGTGCCACTTTATATCAACGCTTAAACACATTTTTATAATTTTCTCAAGAACGGCAATAAAGATTTTGATTAAACTTGGTGTATCGTTGTATAATGAAGCGGTCTTTAATATTAATTAAGTCTTATCCTCATTTATGTCACTTTACAAGGCTTAAATGTCCAATGTTCATATAGGTTTTCCTCTAAAGTACCTTTGATATGGTTTATTTTAAAAATTTAATCATTTCACGTTATTCAGAGTTACAAAAAAATGCTAAATATAACTTTTGAAAGAATTTGATAAGTTAATAAAGAAGAAAAAAAAAATTAAAATGCAGCAAAAACCTGCGTTGCTGTAGACTGTAGTGCCTAAACGAATGTACCGATTTCAATGAAACTTATCTAAAGTCATTTTCTCGAAACCCTTTAAATTTATCTATATAACATACTTCAACGAAAAGAAGCTGGAAAAAAAGTTACGAGGGATGGTAAAATTAAATTATGTATAACTCAAAAAGTATATACTTATATATTGTGATAAGATGTTTCAAAGGTATTTAAATTTCCTAAAAAATTAAAGAAGTTTCATCGAAATCGAAGCACTATTAGTAGAGATATCGCGATTTTAAAATATTTTTGGTTTATTATTACTTTCACTTACCTATATATGTAATATATAGTAAGGGTAAGTATTGCGATCTAGAATTTTTTTTTTTTATTAATTTCTTTAAATATTCACTGTTGAATATTTTAATTTTATTGAGTTTTCCTATATTTAAAACGAGATTATAAATAAATCTATTTATAATAACTGTAACCATTGAAGCATTTTTTCTACGGGGTGTATCAATTTCGTCGTGAGACACTGTATGTCGAATAATATATCATTTAATATCTCATTTAAATAAATAACAATGGGTTCTAACCAATTGCATAAATGAAAATGGATAGGAAAATAACTCGTATCTTGCGAGATGCCCTGACTGCACCTGGCATCCCAACCATCTGTTGTTCCACTTCCAACCACTCCTCCATCAGATCTGGCCATTCTGTCGAAAGCTTGAGGAACAGAGTTAGATATACAGTCACGATACAGTAAAATGTTATCTGACCTGAAAAAAAGAAAAGTTTTGGAATGGACATATCGGCGGTTTATTGCTAAAAGTACACTTTTGGTCGATTTAAACCTGAAGGTACGTAGTTGTTAATTTCGATCATATTTATAGATAGAATAACAATAATAGTAGAATTTCATAAAAACAATATAAATCCTTTTATATGTAAAAAATAATTTTCCTATAAATAGCACAATGTTCTGACTTTAAAAATAAAAAAGTCATGAAGTTACTTAATGAAATTCTTGTACTCTACATAAAGTTTAAGTAGAACGCCAAAATTTCCTATCTGGTACTTAATAACTTCTTTCACTGATTAATTGATTAGATAGTTAATAAAACTAACTAAGTGAGGTAAGTCTAACTCACATTATATGTACTTGCAAGGTTATAAATTTTTGTTTTTAAACTATGATAACTTGCAAAAAATCACTATATGTGTCGTGGTTTAATTTTTTTCATTGTCAGGTATATGTTAAGTATTTTAATTAATTATCGAAAATAGAATAAATATTTAAAAATTGCAAATATCTAAAAATACATAATGCAATTGCTATTTTAGTATTTTTTTTAATAAATCAGAAACTTCAAATTCGATTATCTCAAAATCATTAAAATGTTACTCAATGATGGTTAATAGTCAATGATCAATTATCAGCATGAAACAAAATCAGGATTTACGGTCAAGAATTTTTATTAGGTTAGCCGACGTTTCGAGCCAAACTTGTGAGTCATCATCAGGACTATCGTTTGGGAGGCGAGACAAAAACTGACAGATTGACTTCATATGTTTGGTTCGAAACTTTGGCTAACCTAATAAAAATTCTTGACTGTAAATCCTGACAATTTTGTTTCATCATAATGTTGTTAACAATAAATTGATGATAGATATACCCTTTTTTTTTTTGTCCTCCCCTTCCTCGCTTTTAAGGCTATACGGAGGAAATTTATGATATACCTGTTATAAACAGTGCATTCATATGTTTTCAATCCTATAAACAAAGATCCTAGATCTGATATGTTGAACTTTCGAATGATTTTTCTCCTATTTATCTATATTTAATTAATATTCAAGCGGTTTAGTTGTTCTTTATTTTATTAAAAAAATCTGAGAAATATTTTTACCACTAGAGGCACTATTAAAATATTGCTGTAATAAAAGAGACCAATATATATTTTTTTCACCTGTTTTACATACTATAAATTTTCAAATTGTCGTAATCTAAATAATAAAATATAATAAGAGTTGGGCTTCTAATGAGGAGGCAAAAGAAACTCAGGGATCCCGCATTTTCCCCACCTATGTTTTACATTAAAACACTAAAGAAATAAAATATTTCTTCGTTGTTTTAAACAAAACCAAATAACTAAGTCGATTGAAACTCAAGAAGCATTTGGAGAGATCTTAATTATGAATAATATAAAGTTTTAATAATAAATGGTAATGAAAACAACAAATTTAAACAAAAATTAAATCAATAAGAGATATCTTACTGTTAGTATCTGTTGTAATATTTAATAACTATAAATCACATTATTCAATGCGTTATTTAAAAATAAAATAAATAAAAACTAGAAAATATTATTTTATTTAATAAACTTATTGAAATTAATTCGATTAAAAATCATTAATTGAACAGCTAAAACGCATTAAGGAGGGACACAATTCAGTGAGTGACAATTGTGTCCAAAGACCATTTCACAATTATTCTTTTTTCCTAAAAACTTGTATTAAAAAGCTGAACAATAAAATGTCGGTCCTTACTTCCTCAATCAGTTATCTCCAAAGTGCATTTATTTAATTGTTGTTATCTAATTTTTTTAAACTATCAAAGTTAATTTTTTAAAACATTAATGAATTCAGCTCAAACAATTTTATAATATATTTATTGGTATATGTATTTAATATACTTTTGATAATTATTTTAAAAGTTACAATTTTAATATTGTTCCATTTTTTTTTTTTTTTTTATTGAGGTATTTTCGTATGAAAAGTCAGTAAAGCAACACTTTTAAGGATATTCATTTAGTTATATTTGGATGCCATTTCCAACGAAGTAGGTTAGCGCCATTTTGTTCAAATTTCATTGCAATATAACTGTAAATACCTCCATGTTAAAAGTAGTAGCCGCTGTCATCCATATTCCCATTCAGTTTACAATCTGTTTTAGTAATCAACGCCCCTCAGAAAATAATATATATATAGCAATTTTCCATGATATGCTCGATGGTCAATGGTGTGTTGCCGATGCTGCATCTAGCATGAGGCTTCCCTTCAAGCTGTCCATGCGTCAGCCTAGTATGTCCTATCCTGAGTCTACAAATTATGGTTTGCTCCCGACGGTTCCTGTTATTTGAGGCAGTGGTTCTGTATCTTCATAAATGTTCTTCAGTTTGTTGGTCTTTGGGACCTTGGACCAAAAGCAGCACCATGCTTCTTTGCAATGATTCAGCTCGGCTGCATTGAAGTCCTACAGCACCATGTTAAGTCCAGGTTCTGGAAATATAGTGCGGGCTTCCTTGGCACCTGTGTCAGCCAGATCATTTCCAGGTATACCAACATGGCTAAGGACCCAGAGAAATTTTATTAATTTGTTTGTTATCTGAATTAGTTGTGTCATGGAAAATGCAATAGGATTATTGGAAAGTTGAAAATTTAGTATTTCTTTGAGGGCCGGATATGTGTCACTGCAAATTAGAATGTGGGTGTTTTTTAATTCATTAATAAGACTTACGGATCGAGGATGAAGGATCTGAAGAGAAGACGAAATAAATGGAAGAAACCTGAACTGACATACCAATAATCCTGAAGTTATATGGAATATATTACATCAGTTTAATTAACTTTTTTTAATTACTTTTCAGAATCAAATCAAGTTAAAAATGAAATCCCAAAAGCTAAATTTGTCCGGTTTCTACACATACTCCGCCTTAAGGATTTGAGATAGTAAAATGGATTGAGATAATGATTAGTACTTCATGCTATTGATTGTGGACCACATGAGCCATCAAGTCTATGACTATATTTGTGATAGCGAAACTCACAGAATCTCTGTATTTGATAACGGTCTCTATCGTATTTATTTTCTATTTTCTGACTAATCTGTTTACGTGCCAATCGCTTCAACCGGTGACTGATGCAAAGGTATGAATAATCATTTTGTTTTCATAAGGTGCATTGTGATTTAATCGATATCATGGCAAAACAATAGTGTTTTTAATTCTACTTCGATGTTTATTAAATAGCCTTGGTACCTTTAAGATATTAAAACAAAAAATCGAGTTCGCTCACCGATGGTTTTTGTATACATCAAAGTTGTCTACATGAAAAATCTTCTTATATATTATTTCTGAATATATACCCTTTTCCCGTCTCTCAGAATAGCTCGAAAAGTACAGAATTTTGGGTTCGTTATACATCTGAGTATTTGAATGCTTGCTGAATTCCCAACAAAACTTTAAAATTATCATCGAAATTGATAATAATTATGTGCGATATATATGTATATATATATTTACCCTTATTTTCGTTTCATATTATCTAGGAGAGCTCTATTACATCAAATTTATATGTGGCATATAGCTATAGTATGAGTACAATGTTGAGATGGAACAATTCGTACCGACCTAAACTGGGTTGAAATATTTTTTTAAGCAGAAACCAAGTTCAGATTCCTATTTCGCATCATCAATCCTATGAGTATTTGAAAGCTTACTGAATACGGTACAAAATGTTTTATTTATTTGTTGTTATGTTGCCTCTACCCTGTAGGGTCATTGGCAACACCTTTAAATTACACTCTGATATAGAATTTTATCGCTTTTAAAAATCTTAAAGATTTTTTAACTGCACTTTCGCTGTCTTGTAGATTTTCTTTTAGACTCTGTGCCATGTCCAATTTTTTCCTGGTAGTTTCAAATATGGGACAGTCTTGTATAATATGCTTTATTGTCCTTTGAACATTGCAGCTCTCGCAGGTCAGAGGATCAAGTCCTCTTAGTAGGTAGGAGTGCGAGAACTCACAATGTCCAATTCGTAATCTGCAAAGGGCTGTCTCTTCCTTTTCTAGGAGATCGGTTAGAGGTTTCCCATTTTAAACAGTGGGTTTTAATTTCCTTCAATTTCGATTCTTTTTGTTCCCACTTATTTTGCCACATGTTCCACACATTCTCCTTATTTTTTTTAACGTAATCCTCTAGATGATCGTATAACGTAAACGTAATCCTATAAAAATAATAATGTTTTAAAAAATCATCGAAATCGAACGATTTGGTGCAGAGTTTCTTAACATTTAGTATTTTTTTACCGCAAAGATTCTGTTGCACATACAGAATTTAAGATTTTGGGAATTCACACTTTTTTCCCTCGATACAATATATAATGTTTCAATTATTAATTTTATTTTTATATCTATAGATAGATGTGTCTTCCATTAAACACTTTTTGGAATGTTTGCCGACACTTTTCAGCTAAATAAGCTGTTACTTTTAGATCTCTATTATTGAAGTTTAATGATTATTGAATGTGATCTGTATCAAATGTCCCCTGAGGTTTGGTCCATGGATGGTCTGTTCCAAGAAAAGAAATATAGGTTCTCTTGCACCTGCTGACTCTGAGCAGCCATAATCCATGGGTCTAGACCGATTTGTCACTGCACGTGGACCCGAGCGAATTGGTGGGAAGGACAACTGGCCCCGAAGGGATCAGTTGGGTTACTCCCTCTGGGTTATCTGTGCACCAGCAAGCAATATACGTCTATAAGAAGACCATATCTTGCGGCGAAAGACCTAAATGATCTATAGCACCAACCGGGAAAAAAATATAAGTAAGAAAAAAAAAATTATTTGCATCAATCATCTTACTAATATTTACTGAAACAAAAAAGTAATTCGAATGTAGAATAACTTATTTAAAATAATCTAAATAAAATGTGGATTTAAAATTGTCGTTCTCTTTCAATTGTAAATTCTCTTTTTTAATGGACCTCTTTACTTAATTAGAAAAGTGTTTACCTAGACGGCAACTGTGGTTTCATCGTTTTAAAAATAAACCGGCATAAGTTTAGAATCTCAATGAAGTAATATCAGTCTTTCAGATAAATAGGATTTTTCATTTAGCCTCGTTGAATTATTCAACAGATTTTCCCATGTCAATCTGGTTTCTTCAAAGCTAATAAAAAACAACCTTCAGAAGTTCAATTTAAACCTTATAGTATCTTTATGAGATAGTTATTTGTCAGAATATTGTCTAAATAATAAGTAAATCATATGTTTACTTATGTGTGTGTGTGTATGTATATATATGCATGCAATGTAATAGATTTAAATTTTATTTTTATTCTTTATAAACGGTCGATATCGAAAAACAGGCGATTGGATTTTTCTAACAAAAATTAAAAACGTCCTCATAACACTATATTGGATTTAACCTCCTAATATTTGCTCTGTTCAAGCCAATAAAGAATCCTACTATTGTAACTTGAATCCAAACCAAGTTCTTAAATATATATATATATATATATATATATATATATATATATATATATATATATATATATTTAAATAAAAGGAATATAAATATAAAAGGAAAACCAAATGAGAAAACTGTTTTGGAACAAGATTTTGAACTGCATTATAGGTTTGAATTTTGAAATAGAGAAAAACGTTTTAAAAAGTAGCTAAATTTAATTTTTTTTTTTTTTTTTTTTTTTTTGTGGCAATGACCTTAATTTCTTACGAAGAAGGATAATTGATTCTTATGAAAAAATAATACATATCCACGGCCGTTCTGCCACGCCTGCTGTTGAAGAAAGATGCCGAGCCTGTCTTAATGCTCAACGAAATCACTTTGAACAACATTTAACATGAATCTTAATGTTTACATTTAATTAATAAAGTAGTTAGAGCAAATAAATAGGTTTTGTTTATTTCATATAACGTAAATAATTCATAACAACGATAATCTTTAGCGGTGAATATCTCCTAAACAAAGCGTTTACCTTCAGGGGAAATATTTTTCTTGTTTTGAGGTTCTTAGCTCATATTTGAAGTTTAACCACTTAACTCTAAAACACCCTGTATCTATCGTACATATAATGTGAATGTGATCTTACCTCTCTACAACCATCGTCCAAGTGAAAGAACGTTACATTATCAAAAACATAAATAGAAATTAGACTGGGTCAAAAACCTTTATAATATCTTTTTATTAAATCTTACCTTCAAGTAGATACACAATATAAATATTCCACACAAAGTAATGTTAAAAATAAATGGAAATATAATTATATGACATTACCATCGGAATCCACGTGTTCAGTTCGATATACAAATAATGTCTAATTGGAAAACTAATTTACTTACCAACAGCGGAATATGAAAATGACTCGCCAGAAACTTTTATAATAGTTACTAAACTAAGAAATAAACCCCAGGCCAGCAAAAACAAACATGACATTGTTTTCCAGTTTCTCCAAGCGAACCTGAAATAAAAAAAAAACACTGAAAAATGTAAAACGTATGATTATGTATTGATAAAAAGAAATTTATAGAAATTTATTGATAATGGCAAGACAGATTGTAATAGTAAATATTATAGAGAGTATATTTAAACAAACTATTAGTAAAAAATATTTTTAAAATAAATAAATATTATTTTATATAAAATATTAAACAATATAAAAATATTATTACTTTTCGTCATTATCGGGCAGCGCAAGTATGCGTGCAATAGGATACACAGGTCTGAGCGCTTGAATCACAGACTCTCCTTTCTTAGTAACACCTTTGGAAAGAAAATATAATATTTGAAATAATACTAGTTATATATAATAATAATAATAATAGTTATTTTCATAAGTAATAAATGTATATTAGTACATAGAAACCATTTTTTAAAAAGAATTATCTTTCAATCTTCCTATGTAGGAACAGTATGTGGATAGTTGAATTTCGATTCCAATGAAAAGTCCCATAATTTTAATTTTTTAGTGAAAGACAAGAAAAAAGTCTAAATTTATTAATTGAAGTGATTTAATTGGTTTACGAATACAAACAGTTCTATATTGTCATACTTAATAACTTCTTTTATTCGGAATATTATGAAGGTCTATTGCGGATAATGTGAAATTTCGAATAATTAACGGTATGATAAAGATATTTTTGATAATCTCAATAATAATGATAGTTTTAAAGTAATAATTTTTTTGATAGAGAATACTAATTCGCATATATAAATCAACGGTATTCAGGTCAATTTACTTTTAAACATTTTTTTGCAAGAGTAGCTTTTTCTATTTTCTATAGTTTCTCCACAATTTGCAAGACTAAGTTTAATGTTTTAAGTAAGGGAAAATTTTTTTTACTACCCTTTCTTGCTATATCGGCTATAAGGGGTTTTCCCGGGCCAGAGGAGAGGGCAGGGGATCATTGAAAGAATTAAAAAAGTCCCGGGATTCGAACACATAATCGTCTGTTTATCAGGTTGCTCTGCCACTCCGCACCCTAGTTTGGGAAAAACCTGTGGGCTTCTACTTAAAATTAATCTCCATTGGTGTATTCAAAGGGAGAGAGAGGGAGAGAGAGAGAGAGAGAGAGAGAGAGAGAGAGAGAGAGAGAGAGAGAGAGAGAGAGAGAGAGAGAGAGAGAGAGAGAGAGAGAGAGAGAGAGAGAGAGAGAGAGAGAGAGAGAGAGAGAGAGAGAGAGAGAGAGAGAGAGAGAGAGAGAAGAGTTTCACGTTTATGAACTCTCCTCTCCCTCCTCCCTCTCCTCAGAAAAAATTGATTTTTTTTTTTTTTTTTTTAATATTTGTTTTATGAGTTTTCAGAGCCGAATGCATAACCAGTTACAAGGTGTTTTCTTTTTAAATTATAACATAAGTACTACAAAAACTTAATGTAAAAATGTGCCAAGAAAATATATAAAAAGTTTATCGCTAAATGCATTATTGTTTCTTAATTACAGTTATTATTTTTGAAATTGAAAAAAATAATAAAAATTTTAATAAAAAAATTATCTAAAAAAAATTAGCAGCCTCCAAAATTAATTTCTGAATCAGCTATTGCCTCCATCTGTTAAACAAAGGAGGAAATGAATATAAGTCGTTTTTTGACAAAAAAAATTAAAAACTTCGCTTTTTTGTATGGAAAGCCAGTTTGATTTAACACCTTTGATAAAAATACAAGTATTTTTGTTTTTAAGTGCACACTTTATAAACTGTGTAATCAAAACTACGAATTATTGTTAGCATTATGTAATTGAATCTCGTATCACCACTTATCACATAAACAAAACAAAATGAAAAAAAAAAATTGCGATAATCAGGATTTCGGATATGATAGATCCGAATAAACAAGGACGTAGCCCAGCTCCAATTTGAAGGAGGGGGTAAATTATTTAAATAATGAAATACTAATAGCCATCATGTCACAGTTAACAAATTTGTCCAGAAATTTGTTATTAATATTTGGCACTATTTTATTTAAAAAGATTTTCCGTGTTAAAAAGGTGTAATTGTACTCCCTTATACGTCCACGTTGATAGCGGTATTCTGTCTTATTGCAGATATTTTGTTTGTTAGTGATTTAAAATACTTTTTACACTCATAGAACTAGAATAAATAGCATATCCTCAAAATATTCTATTAGGTCTTTTACGATCTCACACCTCTTTCGATTAATTAATATCACTAGCGCATTTCAATTTGGGGGAAAGGGGATTTCAACCCGAAAGCTTTTTTTCTTTTCATATTTTATACAACGGTAGCTAATTTGGAAAAAAAGAAAGATACTACCTCCATATACGAAATGGTGTTTAAGTGATTCTTGAAATCCTATTAAATGTAATTACACGAACAATAATACATTAAGAGATAATGTCTGAATATTTTTTACCATAAAACATGGCTACATTTTACCATTTTGGGGAGGAGGGCTTCAGCCCGAAATTCCCCCGTTGATCTGCTCTGTGATTAATTTGGTTAATTATATATTGTCCTAAATAGTTCGGACGTTTTAGAGTTTAGAGTTTATTAACCAAGAATTTCAATTTGGTCCGACCAGATGGCAACATCTATCTTACTACTAATAAGAAAGTGGACGTTGTGGTTTAACAAATAGTATAAGAGGATCACGGGCGGATCTACGGTGGGGCTTTCGGGCTGAAGCCCTCCCCCCCCTCCCCTCCCCAAATGGTAAAATATAACCATGTTTTATGGAAAAAAATATTTAAAAATTTTCTCTTAAAGTATTATTGTTCGTGTAATTACATTTAAAATGACTTAAGGAATCGCTTAAACGCCATTTCATATAGATAGTTGGTTTCTTTATTTTTTTCCAAAGTAATTATCGTCATTTTTATGAAAAAAAAGCTTTCGGGCTGAAGCCCTCCCCCCAAAAAATTAAATCTTGGATCCGCTATTGAAAAGGATTGAACGTTTAACAACTCTGATTTTTTTGTTTTATTCGTGTACTTCATCCAAATGTCAAAGTTTTAGAAATAGGCCATTTTTATTTTTGTTCCTGCGAACAGAAATAATTTCCGATTGTAAAAATTTGTTACTACAAAACTATTAGCTTGATAATAAGAAGTCATATTTTTACACGCCGAATTTTGGGCTATATCTTTAATATATTTCTTGCTCAAGATATTTTTTTGTATATTATTTTCAATAATGAACCATTGTAACCATCCGAAACATTAAAAAATTTTACCTCCCTCTCCAAAAGTTGAGGTTTTAGGTTGCACGATACGTAGAATTCGAAAATCGAATAAAAAAAAAAAATTGTCCGTCCGCCGTCCACGCGGATTTTCTCCGAGACTACAGGACCGATTTTTTTCAAATATGGAATTAAAGTTAGAGGTCACCTGAGGATGATCCTCCTACCTCGACATTACTATCCACAGTTTCCTTCCAAGATGACGGCCGAAAAACCTGTGTTGGTATAGAGCGTAGCGCCTAAACGAATGTATCAATTTCAATGAAACTTGTCTAAAATCTTCTCCTAGATGCCCTTTAAATTTATCTATGTAACGTAACGTACTTCAACGAAAAGAAGCTGGAAAAAAAGTTACGAGGGGTGGGTAAAATTGGATTTCCGAATAACTCAAGAAGTATACACTTGTTTGTGAAGTTTACAATTAGATGTTTCAAAGGTAATTAAAGTTCCTAAAATATAAAAAAAAAGTTTCATCGAAATCAGAGGACTGTTAGTAAAGATATCGCTGTTTCTAAATATTTTTGGTTTATTATTTTCAATTACCATTGTAAACTTCAAAAAATGTAGAAATTTTACATCCCTTCAAAATTTGAGGTTTCACGTTTCCCGATAGATTGATTCGAAAATCAAATAAAAAATATCCGTCCGGGGCTTTTTTCATTTACTGTCAAATCTACTGAATTATTAGATCACTGACAAAGAAGCTATATACCATAACTACCTCGAACATGCTAATGGGCTTAACGAATGCCAGCACTCGTTCCCATTTCCTCTTCCACGGTGGGCAGATGTTACCCTTACCCACTTCCTCCCATCAACATCTGTACCCACAGGCAACTTCAACAGGGGCATCCATAACATCAACGAATGGAGCGTTCTGCTAAAACTCTAATCCTACACGATAGGAAAATAGATGTATTTTGTATATATTCGCCACGATATATACAATATGTAGAGTAGTGATCTTAGCACTATATTCTATGAAATAAAAAATCATCTTGTCTCAGACCACTTCATCTCACGTGCTGCAAATTCAGCAATTCAGCTGTCAACTTTGAAGTATGAAATCGGTTACTCTTTAATTTTAAAAAACTCAACTTTCCCATGGAATGATTCGGGAAAGTATTTATTTCTTATATTTCTGCTGACATCTTGAAACTTTTAAACTTAAATACGTGATTCATCTCGCGTAAACAAACAAAAAATATCTTTTTCAGATTGGACCGAAGAAAGTATTTTATCTGTTTCATAGATCGAATATTTTATTTTAGGAGTCCACGAGATAAGTGTCTCCAAACTACTTTCAAAATACCTTAATTTTACTAAGGTCATTGTTGCAGAAATTAATATTATAAATCGAAGAATATAAAAATAATATTGTATTTTTTTTTTTTTTTTGCCTTGAAACTTGTCAAGCAAGTCCTATTTTACCAATGTATTACGTGATTATTTTTTGCAAAATGAATTAAAATAAAATCCGAAACGCAAAGCAATATTCAGTGTGTAACTTGATAGTTATATTTAGCTCGAATTTAAATAATTTAATAGTTTAAAACTAAAGTAACTTTATAAAATTAATGTTTTATAAAATTTAAATCAAAGAAGTGAATTCTGAAAATAAAATTGCTGATGAGGTGTAAAAGAGAATCATGGTTGGAAACCGGGCGTACTATGCCAACTTAATTTTTTTTCGATCATCGCTTCTGACACGAGAAACAAAGATAAGACTGTATAAGACTTTAGTAAGACCTACTGTGACTTATGCAGCGGAGGCATGGACCCTTTGTACTAGCACAATTAGTATGCTGAACATTTTCGAAAGAAGAATATTGAGAAGAATTTATGAAGCTGTTTGTAAAGAGATTGTGTGGAGGTATAGAAAAATGCCTAGCTATATGAATTATATAATAGCGGCAACATAGTTCATTTCGTTAAAACTAGGCGTATGGAATGGATAGGCCACGTGGCTAGAATGGACCACAGCAGGATGTCTTATAGGGCATTGTTCTCCACAATGCATGGCACAAAAAGAAAGGGAAGACCAAGGAAAAGGAAAAGAAGGAAGAGCGACCTTAGAACACCGGGTGTGAGGAATTGGAAGGAAAGAGCTAGCAATAGAAATGATTGGCATTCTATAATTCAGGAAGCCAAGGCTCACCCTAGGCTGTAGAGCTACATAGTAAGTAAGTAAGTAAAATTTTAATGTCCATAACAGGGTTATATAGGGACATTTATTTCGTTTAAAAATTTTCCTTATTTACTGGAAAACTTTTTATTTATTTACCGTAGAACATTAACACAATCATCTACGTTAAGGACACTAAACTTTTTTTTTTTTTTAAAACAATTATTGTACGCAGGTAGTGTTGCCCAAATGCGAGGCCGAGGCGAGTCTTGGTCTTGCAAACTCAGTCTTGGTCGTAGTCTTGGTCTTGCGCAATACTCTGGCAACAGTCATGCTGTTACTTATTAGCTTATTACTATAGAGATATTACTGTATTCTTTTAGATAGGAGAAACCTAACTAAGCCCGAATGAAAAATTAGAGGAGTTGAATGCAAAAGTATATTGGTTATAACAATTATGAACATATACTAACTAAGATTGTCAAGTATTAGTAACTATTTTGCCTTAATTTTTTAATTAAAAAATCGATTTTTTTTACCAATCCTGGTCTTGGTCTTGCAAACTGCAAGACCAAGACCGATTTTGGGCAACACTATACACAGGGTGCCCCGTAAGCAAATGGTAATATTTAAAGAGGAAATAGCAGACTTCGCGATCTACAAAAAGTTGATATAAGCCATGTTCAGATTTTTCGCAGAAAAGGAGGAAAGTTTAGTTTTTTCTTGTTGTTTTTTAAAGCATTTCTTCTTTTTTTTAGCCGATAAAAGTTCCAATTAAATATTTTTAATTAGCAATTGTTTGTTACCAAAATTCAATATTTGTTAATTATTGCTTCCTATTAAAAAACCATGACACTTAAAAAAATACAAAATTAAATTTTTTTCCGATAATCCAACAATGGTTTCCATCTTCCATATTTCCCTTTTTAATAGAACACGCAATATATTTGATCGGTTAATCATGAACAAGTATTTGATTAACTCAAGCCTTTGTTTAAAAATTTTCAAATACACCAAAAATGTAATTAAAAAATATGAATTTAATTTTGTATTAACTAACAGAGATTTTAAGCGAATTCGATATGGCAATGTTCAATAATTATGTGTCATCGACCATCATAAGGTTGTTAATATTTTTACTGAACTTTCCTAAGAAATTACCAATTGAAATATAATATTATCAAAAGTGGTGAAATATTTCACAAACGATGGTCAGTAACTTTTGATGGATTATCAAAACGTAAACTATTACCTTGACTTTCGACGGTCTTTGGAAGTCTGTGCCGATCGGCAGTGGGTATTGCAGAAACTTGAATGAATTGGCAACCAGTGTTCCTCATGATGGCGTCCATCTTAGCTTCATCCAACGCAGTGTTCCTTCGCTGTAGTTCTCATCGACGTTTATCGGAACACAGGTAATTTGTTTGTCTCAGGATTAATTTTCTTGTCACCGCTACGTCCGTGATGGGGGAATATGTGTGCCATTATTTGGCCCGTGTCACACATTAAGTAAGCAGTAAGTGTAGTATCTAAAAACATTTATCGATTGCATATACGTAGATGAACTTGTAGATAAAGGGATACAAAATCAAACATTCTATTCCAAAACACACTATTCCCATTTTAACCAATATTTTTTTAAAAATAAGAGAACATATAGATAAGAAAAAATAAATAAACAAAAACCTTTATAACTTAATAATATATAGGGCGAAGTTAATTTATACGTTTCAGATTAAAATTGTTCTCAACAATTTTATTCAACATTCTGTTACAATAAGCACAATACTTATGGGAAAAGGATTAATTCACACCATATTTATATAAAATATAAATAAATAAAAGAAAAATAACAATATTGAAAATATAAATAAACAAAAACAAAATAATTGTGAAGAGATCCCAGGAGATCCCTGCGCTACTTTCTCCAGGAGTGCCCATCCCCCACAAGGTGGATGGCGCATGATCCTCACCAAGATATTTTTTACTCTCTTAAAAACATTAGCAATAAAATTACCATAAATTATACACGATTACATTTGCTGAAGTTTGTTTCATTTATTCCCTTTGTCTCTTTGTTTGAAACTATTCAATCCAAAAATTCATAACTCCGTCGAAATATGAGCCCCTCGAAAATTCAAAATTCCGTAAAAATGGCTCTCATCCCCCCCCCTCAAAAATTGTGATGTCGCAACTTGCGCCATGAAATCCCCTTGTGGGCACCTCTGACTCTCTCAACAGCGTCACTGGTATTAAACGCAAGTGGAGGTAGGTAGCGAGTTTCAAAACACATGTATTGAGTGGAAAATCTAATTTAATATAAATATTTAGTTTAGTTTAAAAGATCGTAGGGCCTCTGCCGTTTCTTCAACTTTTGAGGATTCTAGGGGGTTGTAAAAGGGTATTTGGATGATATATAAGATTCTGGTAAAATTTGACGAATTTATCCGTTATAAGATCTAGGACAAATAGTATCATAATTTAGGGTTTTGTTAGTTACATAGAATGGGGCTTAAATTACTGGTTCTAGGTCAAATTCGGTCAAGAAAGATTGGATGCGTTTGTTATTAGAAAGTTTTACTGTCCCTCGCAGTTCTTGTCCGTAGGTCCAAATAAGATTGCCTCGTAGAAAAGAGCTACATACAGTTGGCAATATCGTCGATTAAGATGTTGTCTTTTAAGTGTTATGTGTGGGTTCCATGCGAGTCGACTTTCAAAGAGGAAGCCAAGATATGGAAATTCGCTTGAGAAGGGAAGTGTCATGGAGTTAAAATGAACTGGTGGGCAGAATTTCCGTCGAAGGTTTAAGGTGTCACGTTTGCATTTAGATTCATGTACTTTGGTGAACCAATTGCTTCACTAATTTTAAATCAATATAATAATCTTTTAAAAGTTATGGTATATCTTCGTCGTCGTCCTCTACTTCTAAAAAAACTAAATTTCTTCAAAAATATTAATCTTTTTTCGATAGATATTTGTATATATATATATATATATATAAGTATGTTAATTCAAAGTCGTGAGTAGGGACAAAGAGAGTAACTTTACCCTAGGAGGTAAAGCTAAGAGCACGGGCGGATCTACGGGGAGAGGGGGGGCTTTCGGGCTGAAGCCCCCCCCCCCAAAATGGTAAAATTTAGCCATGTTTTATCGAAAAAAAAGTATTTCTTAAAGTATTATTGTTTGTGTAACTACATTTAAAGGGGCTTTAGGAATCACTTAAACACCATTACATACAGGTAGTTAGTTTCTTTTATCTTTTCCAAAGTAATTATCGTTATTTTTATGAAAAAAACCGCTTTCGGGCTGAAGCCCACCCCCCAAAATTAAATCCTGGATCCACTAGTGGATAAGAGGGATGTTTAAACATTTTATTTTCCTTTAAATATATTTGAGAATTCAAGCAATGCTAAAAATAACAATAAATGTGTAATTTAAAAATAATGAAACTAAAACTTGGAGATTTTAGAACAGATATATTATCTGTCACTGTAGCACTAGCGAATCTAGGATTTATTTTGGGGAGCTTCAGCCTTTAAGTTTTAATTTTTTTATGTGTGGGCGGGCTGGCCGAATGGGCTAAAGCGTGTGCACTGCACCGCCGTTGCCCGGCAACCTGACATATGAATCAAAGATATAAAAATAGTCACGAGTTCGCGTCCCGGTGCCGGGGGAGTCTTTTAAATCCCCGCCCACACTCCCTCGCCCGGGAAAATCCCGTATAGCCTTAACGGCGAGGAAGGGAAGGACCCAAAAAAAAAAAATTTTATATGTATAAAAGGTGTTTAAATGATTCTTGCAGTCCTGTTGTAATAAATGTAATTACGCGAAAAATACATTTAAAGATAGTTTTTTGTGTTTTTTTTTTTCATAAGACGGTTATATTTTACCATTTGGGAGTAGGAGAGGGCTTCAGTCTGAAAGGCTTCCCTCTCCTCCTCCCCTGTCCCCGTAGATCCGCCTGAGTCATTAGGTAAATATATCATTAATAAAGAGACATAAGTAGGGCATTCAGCATCCGTCTATGATTACCTCTTGATTCACTCGTGTTGGATTCAACGCGCTACTGTTGCTTCATAACTTTCCGCATGGCCAACATTAGAAACATGGACAACATCGTTATCCAAAGTTGCTAGTGCTTCCTAGAACAATGGAGTCTGTCAATTCTCAGTTCAAGCTGAGTTGAAAAATTGGACTCAGAATTAATCCATCTTTTTTTTTTTTTTGCACTTACATATATTTATCCGCACCTGTCAATTATAACTATTGACAATCAGCAGATGTGCTGGCAGAGTCATGAGAAAAAAAAATAAATAAAAAATAATAAAAAATAAAAATAAATAAATAAAATGGCTTGATAGGCATGAGGAAAAGCAATACCCAGCGGTATCCTTTCCATGGCTTTTACTTACTTACATACAATTACGTAAGTAGGTCCCTCATCCAGACCCTTTTCAGTCGTCTTCTGGAGTTCTCTGGCATAATAGTCGTGGCCATTTCATTAATTAGCTGGTTGGAGTGTCCATGTAATTTATTATGGAATCGTTTGTAGTAAGTTCGTATGTGTTCATTGATCGTTGGCATGTGTAAGTCAGTGTGTAAAGTGTTATTATTCACGTACCAGGGTGCTTGGGTAATTAGTCGTAGTATCTTAGACTGAAAAGTTTGAAGTCGTTTTATGTGTGTTGGTTTTGCAATTCCATATATTTGTAGTCCATAAGTCCAGAGAGGTTTTATAGGGGGCGGGGTGGCCGAATAGGCTGAAGCGTGTGCACAGCACCGCTAGTTGCCTGGCAACCGGATAACAGAGATTTGAGATGATATAAAAAGCACGAGTTCGCGTCCCGGTGCCGGAGGGGATTTTAAATTCCCCGCCCTCACCCCTCGACCCGGGAAAATCCCGTATAGCCTAAAAGGCGAGGTAGGGAAGAAAAAAAAAAAAAAAAAAAAAAAAAAAAAGTCCAGAGAGGCTTTAATAGGTATGTATAAATACTTAATTTCTGTCTAGCTTTTAATTTAGAATTTCGTTTTAGTAATGAATGCAATAGTTTTAATCTGTGATTTAATGATGCACGTTTTTTCTTTACATGTGGACCCCATGTCATTCTTCTGTCAAACGTCAGGCCTAGGTATTGTACTCTATCTGTTTGTGGAATCGGTATGCTGTTTAAGTATACAGTAGGGCATGTTTCTAGTCTTAGAGTAAATGTAATGTGTTGTGACTTTTGATAATTTATTTGAGTTTTCCATAGTTTACACCAATCGTTAATTTTTTGTAAGTGATGTTGTAGGTTAAGTGATGCCTGTGTAGGATTATCGTGTCTAGTAATGATAGCAGTGTCGTCTGCGTAGGTTGCTGTAAGTGTGTGGATACTTTGAGGAATGTCATGTGTGTATGTTATGTACAGTAGTGGGGCTAAGATTGACCCCTGAGGTACGCCAGCTAAGATAGGTCGAATTGAGGACAGACCTGAGCCATGCCGAACGGAGAAAAATCTGTCTGAGAGAAAGGAGTGAACAATTACGTAGTAGGTTGGTGGAAGTATGGTCTTGAGTTTGAAGAGAAGCCCCTGATGCCATACTTTGTCGAAAGCTTGGGCGACATCCAGAAATACTCCGGTTGCATATAGTTTTCGCTCTAGTGCTGTCGATATGTAGTCAGTTACCCTGTGTAATTGTTGTGTTGTTGAATGTAATTTTCGAAACCCGAATTGATGGTCAGGAATAATCTGTTTGTCTGTTAGTATATGTAATAGTCGTGAGTATAATAGTTTTTCAAATAATTTAGAACACACTGGAAGCAAACTAATCGGTCTATATGAAGAAGGATTGTTAGTTTCTTTATCTGGCTTTTTAATCATGGTTATATGAGAGTATTTCCATTGTATTGGAAATTTTGTGGTCCTAAGAATGCAATTGAAGATTGTGGTGAGAAACACTAGAGCTTTCCTTGGCATTTGCTGGAGCGCCTCAGCATTTATCAAGCATGACCAGGGGTTTTTCTTTTCGGTAATTGTCTAATTTCTTGTGCAGCTTGTGATGGTGTGAAAGGAGGTGGTGGTAGTGTGAGCTGTAGTGGTATGTCTAAGTTATTTTGTACGAAAATATCATGTTCTGTATTAACGAAGTCCGTATGTGATTTAAAAACAGAAGAAAGATGAGTAGCAAAGAGTTCAGATCTTTCTTCGTCCGAAACAGCCCAAGAACCATCCTCTCTTCGTAGGTGTGCTGACACCTCACGATGCTTTAAAAGATTCCTTGTGTGTCTCCATAAACTTCCATCGTCCGTCGAAAGGTTGTTAATAAAATTGTCGTAGTTTGTGCTTTTGAATTTTTGAATGTCTTTTAAGTTCGTTGTTCAATCTGTTAAAAGTTTGTTTGTCTGAAGGAAGTCTATTAGTCTGCCACACTTTACGAGCTCTTCTCTTTGCCCTGATTAAGTCCCTTATGTACATAGGATAATGGGGCAAGTTCACTGCTCTTTGTGACCTAGATGTTGATGAGGACCATGCTGCATCTTGTATACTTTTT